GAGAGAGAGAGAGAGAGAGAGAGAGAGAGAGAGAGGGAGAGAGAGAGGATCTTTTTCGGGTGTTGCCTGTGTTCATTTTCTCCTTTATAGTTGTGGCATACTCCATACTTCAGTAAAAGCTGATAGAGAAGGCCTGATTGGGTTGTGATATTGGCTTCCATCTACTGGTGAATCATATTCCCACTTTTTAAATGGCTCTCTTGAGGTGGTATCTGAGCGACTATGGAGTTTGTGAGATATATTAAAGCTTCTTCCACCTAAAGTTATGCACAAACCAAGTGAAATTTATCTTCATTTTTCTTACTCGTTTGATTTAAGAGAGAATAAGTGATTGAAAATTTGCCTATCTGGATTAAGAATCATCTTTCACTGATCCGCTTCAATGTCAATATCAGTGATTTCTTTAGCCGTCATACGTAGGGTGTAGTTTGTATAGAGCCTAGACTCTAAACAATCATATTATAGCCCACCTTTAAATAGTATCGAGAAATATGATTTCAATACTAGAAAGCTTTGTGAAAGCCTTAAATTATATTTTCATCTTTAGTTATAAAACTTAAAGCTTCAAAAATAATGTAGATCGAGTATATCTATGAAAACTTGAAAATTGACGGCCTAAAAATACATTATAAGATGAACTATTTTCAAAACTTGAAATCCTAATTTTTCTCATGTCCATAAATCTGAATGTCGAGATGATGAATTTGATGATATTTGGGCATCAAAACAACATTTTCTAATGAAAGTTTTGAGATAGTCTCTAAGTTGATTATTTAGAGCCTAGACTCTATATAAACTTTTCCCTATAATAGTCCGATATTATGACTTAAAGATCGTGTTACCATGTTGGCTAGAGGGGTTTGTCTTCATTCACAATGTTAAGGGGTTCGAGACTCCGGGACTCTGCTTATATTGTAAATGTTGCACCTTTTTCTTTTTGAAGTTAAAAAAATGATATACACGAGTCCCCGATGCCACATATACCTTTTATGATATTTTGAAGTTAAAAAAATTATGCACCTTAGCATAACCCATAACTATGGGTTTCGGCATTAAAGATATTGTAGTTCTTTTACATACATGGACAGAAGGTACAAAGTCCAATTTTGCATTCATGAATAACTTATGGCCAACGACCCCGCCATTATACCTTGCAATTCTACACCCAAGTTGGATTCCTCACAGTACTGAAGTTTGGTGATCAGTCTACTTGTTCTGATTTTTTGGAAACTTATTGTTGGTATGAATATTGAAGCAGCTTTCTGCCTTCCTCCAAATTTTCCTCTGGTTATTTTTGGGGCCATAGGGCTGCTCTATGGTCCGCCTGCTGTGGGGCCTAAATAATATAAGATAGGCCAGGCGTGAACCCAGCCTGTAAGCCTCATTGGATGGACGAAGCCCGGTCGGAATTGGGTCTGACCGTAAGGCGCTCAAGTTGGACTGGCGTGGACTGAACATAATCGCCCGCTTTGGGCAGCCAATGGGCATGATTCAAGTTGTACTATAGTTGGGGCATGTTCAGAACTTCCATGGCTAGGCTTGGATCTTTCCTAGGCCAACTTAATTTAAGCCAAGGGTCTTCGACCTAGTCCATAAGCCTCCTAGGTTGAAGACCGGCCAAGAGACCCACTGGCAGCTCTAGTCCTGTTGAAAAAAACTTTTCATTATCATCATCCTAGCCTTATCCTAACAATGTCCAGAGACCCACTGGCCAAACTGGCAGCTCTAGTCCTGCTGAAAAAAACCATTCATTATCGTCATCCGAGCTTTGTCCTAATAATTTGGTGTAAGCTTAACAATTCCTATCCTACCAGTCAAGGTTTCATGATATAAGATGTGGCAAAAATTTCAGGCTGATTTCTTTTTTGGATAAATAATGCCATGATAGCTGCAAGGGAAATGACCTTGTGAGTCCCTCCCACATACATCCGTGTAGGACTTTAAAGGATCACCATTAAATTTGGCACAAATCTCTAAAAAAGTTAAGTCTCACACCCATATGCCAAATTTAATGGTGATTCTTTGGGGTCATACACATATAGGTGTGGGAGGGTATCGTAAGATCATTACTCTAGCTTCATACCCTCTTACCTTTATTCGGGATTGGGACCCATCATAGAGTTATTTAAAAAAAAAAAACTTTCTTGATTTTCAAAACCCCGAGTTAGTTTGGACGACCATTAATCATAAGTAGAAGCATATTTCCAATATACTCATCAGAGAACACTTCAGGGGAACATTTGATCGGCTCCATTCTGAACCTTAATTATTTCAAGATACAATTCGGTACTAAAGTAATTAAAAAAAAACACATGGCCTAAGTTCCCACTTTGTCCCCATCCATCCTCGCTTTATAGTATAACGGTCAATCTTGACTTATCACGGTATTATTTTGAGAAAGCATGGTTCACTGGCAACACTGAAGTTATGTACTACAAAATTAGCATTCTCCATCCATTCTTTAGATTAAAGGTGGATGCGAACTCTAGTCTGCCGCGTGTCTACGACCGAATTATGATCCATGTTGAGAATAAACGGTGGAAATCCCGTTTGTGCATCCTATACGTTTCATATTTACTCCTGCCATGGAGCATCGATGTTAGGCGTGTTATGAAGCTAGAGTGCTCTCTGTCTCTCTTTCATTGAGGGAGGGAATTATCGAATGAATGATGGACCCTTTCTTCATCATCTTCATCATAGTTTGTTTTCAATTATATATATTTCTTCTATACATTAAACGATGCTTTTCGCTTTTTCCCTTTGGCCACTCATTTGTTGGAATTCATTTCCAAGAGCATATATTATATATTAACTTGAATAATATTATCAAAATATTAAAGAGTGTACCCTGTAAAATCCCTCTCACTTAAACAATTCTTTTCGCTTTTTCCCTTTGGTTACTTATTTGTTGAAATTCATTACCAAGAACAATTATTTCGTATTCTCAAAATATTAAAAAATGTACCCTGTAAAATCTCTCACTTGCTGAGATAGTCTTCTCACCCACGCGCAAGTCATTTCTCATTTTCCGCTATGAATGATAGGCTACTAATTCGTCACTTTCCGCTATGAATGATAGGCATAGGCTCCTAATTCGTTGACTATTAACTTTAACGTTATCAAAATGTAAAAAAGTTTTAACAGCAATTTTTTTGCTCATGTCTCTTTTTATGTTTGATTTTTCTCAAAATAACTTTACTATTAGTTCCAAACTACTTATTATAAGGGTTCAAAGCCATCAAGAATAAATAGTTCCATATCGTTGTAAGGAATCAAAATGTTCGGGATCTAATAGCTCTGGAATCTTTACTGCAAGGAATTAAAGCAGTTTGGACCTCTTAGATCCAAATTGCTTATTAATTGTATTGGAATAGTGATCTAGAACTAATAGCTCCAGACTGCTCATCGTAAAGAATTCCAGAACTAATTCCATACCATTCTTTGTAGTTTTGAACCGCTCATAGTAAGGAATCAAAATGATCCGAAAATAATAGTCCCAACCACTCATTGTAAGGTATTGAAGTGGTTCTTTACAAAGATGGAAGGATAGATTAAAGTAGCCTGGAACTATTAGTTTCAAATTGCTCACTGAAATTCCAATCAACAATCCATAACCAATAATTTCGTACAAACGGATATTTGTGGAAAATAAAAAGCACGGAAAAGAAAGAAAGACATAAGCATAAACTATAGGATATTCTATTTACTTCCTAAATATATCTAATTTTATTTTGAGAAGTTTGCGATAAAATCATATTTTTATTATCAGAATTTAAAATAGAAATTTGTATTTTATATTTTACATTAAAATCCCACTTTTTGTGAGTGTGCATTATATTTTTATTTTCTTTACATCAAATAGAAATCATATTTGGGGATTTGATAGTTATCACCAACACACATTTATAAAAAAAAATACTAGAAATTAATTAAAATAAATAAATAAATAACAAAACAGTATAAAATTTTGAAATTTTTAAGGGCATTCTAGTTAATTTTTATTAAACTTAATTATATTTTAAATATTGTTTGCAAATGCACATGGCGGGCAATATAAATATGCACAATGTGAACTTATGTAGTAAAAAATATATATTAAAACAATATTCATTATTAAAAAAGGTAAGTTTAACAACAAAAATTTAAAGTATTTACAATTTTAAAAAATGAAAAAGAATTTTTCGACTGCCAGGCGTACCAAGTTACAAAAAATAACAGAATATATAGAATTTTGAGATTCGGGCAGCACAAATCCTCACATTCATTTTTTACCCAATAGGATCTTTTAAAGGCCCTGTCATACGTGGCATTTGGCTTGCGGACTTAGATTGCCCTCTCACTCAGTCACACGTTCCGATTCCACTTTCCGACATCCATGTCAGCATTTGGCTTACGGACTTAGATTGCCGTCTCACTCAGTCACACGTTCCGATTCCACTTTCCGACATCCATGGCAGCTCCACTGGCTTTCATGATTTATATTGGAAGTGGCACTTATCCTTGCTACACATCAGTCGTTGGGGAGAAAACTTCGTTTCTACACCTCAGTGGTTGGGGAGAAAGCTTTGTGAGATTTTTGGCTTGGAAGTTTTAGGTTGGTTTTTTGGCTATAATGGAGGGTCGAGGGTTTTGGTGTTGGCTCCAAGAATGATGAGCCTCAAAGGCGAACAACCTTTCTCTAACAACCGCAATTCATAAAACTGTCTCACCCTTTACCACTAAACCTATGAAAGCTTATCCAGTCTTAATTGACATTTTTTATTTCTCCTTTTCCTTTTCTTGGCTTTATCCAGTCTTATTGACATTTCCTATTTCTCCTTTTCCTTTTCTTGGCTTATTGACATTTCTTATTTCTTCCATGGGGATAATATCTCCTTTTCCTTTTCTTGGCTTATTGAAATTTCTTATTTCTTCGATAGGGGATAAATTATGAAAAGGGGAATAAAATTATAAAAAAAAGGCGCTTGTCCTTCTAGCCCGAAGGACGAGTGGGGAAGTCCTTCGAGCGCAGACCATGAGTGGGGAAGAAAGAAAAGACCATTCACTTTATTTATCCAGCAATAGTTTCTGTTCTTCCATCAATAATTATCATGATTTATTTCTATTTTCTTTTCAAAATATTCAAAGTTGGAACACAGTTCCGTATAAAGATTTGTAAATAAAATACCCTAATCATTCTTGCTTGAGGTTCATCGGAATAAACATATCATTTGAACAGAGCCCAGAGCCCAAACTATGAATGGGGAAGAGAAGACTATTCACTTCATTTATCCATCAGCAATAGTTTGGATTTTTCCATCAATGATACAAGAATCAGACCAGCCAGCGAAGGATTTGGCCCAACAACTTGTCAAACAGCTTGGAACAGATTTAAAAAAACAAGAATAATCAATATACTACAAGAGAAGTTGTTCCCAACTCTATTTAGCCGGTTGAACCCATACCAAAACCGATTAAACATTAATTTTAACATTTTTTCGACCAAACCCAGTTTTTGGACTAGATGGATCGGTCAACCGATCCAACTGGACCGTCCAGCCCTGCCTTGACAACTATAGTTTCCATACAAATTAAAGATCAAGCTCCAACTCATAAAAAGTTCCAAAGTGCAGCACATCATTCCAATACCCATGGAAGCCTCATGTGAGGACTGGGTCACCGGGCATACAAACAGAATCAGAAGGTCACATGTTGACCTTCAATGATAAGAAACTACCATAGAACCAATACATGCACGCACACAAGCACCCCATAGCACCAATACACACGCATGCGGGCACACAAATATAGAGCGAGATCAAAGAGTAATCTTAATTATTATTGTAAATGTCCAGATAACACCCTTCTACACGTAACAAATCCAAATATCTTCCCTTTTCAAAGAGATAATTCAAGCCCATCTATACTAGTTTCTCTTACAAACGAACTCAGGAAATACAGCCAAACAGATTTATCAGAGCCTAGCATTCAACAGAGTCAAGAGTCAACAAATTCGAACAAGAGCACACCACACTTTCTTCTAACCGATACTGCTACCTGTATATCTCAACTTCGCTTCCTGCCATTGGATTACCCATAAAAGTACTGCCGCTTGTATGCCACAATTTAGTGGCTCACTAATTTGGCACAGGAACTGAACCATCTCCAGGAGTATCTTTTTGGGTTGTTTTAACTTTTCTTTTATAGCCCTTCCTTCATAGAAAACTAAATTAAGAAATGACTCGAAGTGGGATGGCCTGAAGGCCAGAAGGCTACTTCAAAAGACCAGTCCAATAACTTTTATCTACAGTACCTCTTAGCACAGAACAACTTCCTCCTATGAAATGGACATGTCCAGAGAGATTCGTTCTATGAAATGGACATGTCCTGAAAGATGTCATCTACAAAATGGACATGTCTAAAATCCCGAAAGAGACAAGGCTACTTAAAAGGTCAATCTAGTCACCTAAAACATAGAGATAAATACTTTAAATATTGTGTCATAGCCACACCACAACAATGAACTAACACTAAATTGGACACCCCATTTTTTGTCGGAACAGGTACAAACTGACGACATCAAGTCATACTTAAATCGAAGCTCAGGCCATGCCAAATCTCGAAACTGCTACAACTGGACATTTCAAAACATCAAATCTACCCACTATCAAAAATGTAGATTTCCACTTGCAACAAACCCTCCCTACCAATTATTCAAAAAAAAAAAAAAAACTACCTACCATACAATAGATTATGAAAAACATTCCCCGTATTCATATCCTCAAGAGAGGGAAAACACTTCTATATTCAAATTTTTAAGTTTCAAAAACCAATAATGTTCTCATAATCAACAACTTTTAATTAGTGTTAAATTGAATATCTGGGAGGCTCAATACATACTTGGCCTCATCATCAGCTCTTACAATATGCAGCAGAGTTCACCAGGTGAATATTGTTGGGACTTGGGGGGAACCTACTGCACTCAGACACACTAATGCTCATGATTCCTATTCCAAAGCAACATTAAATTCAATCCTTGGAGAGTATCTTCTAACTCAATCCCCACAAGCAATGAATTGGGAACCTTTCAAGAACATAGCATTGAGTGCGACTCATTCTGATGACGAATCCAACCTCATGACAAATTTGATCTTTCATTTTTCTAAAGGTATCTTCCCTAAGCAAAAACCACCTAACAACTTTTAGTTTAACTCAAGGAAAGGTACTCGTGTTACCACAATCGGTAAAATTTGCACTTCTGCAGCAATGGTAACAAAAGAACAAATATTAAAACCCGATGACCTAGGATTACCAGTCCAAAAGAGATCATGCAAGTGACACTATCCTTATTGTGCAAAATATTGTCAAGTCATAGGGTGCTCTTCTCCTCATCAGTGAATTCATACCGACATAATAAGACTCTGATTGGCATCTTTCCAAGTCAAGCAACAGTATTGCTGATGAGGTAATCAAGTATTCATCCTCCAACCCTGCCGCAGGGGGGAGTAACTTCACAATAAAGGGAAAAAAATGCTTTGCAACAAGACAGACACCCAGCAATCTAAAAAGTTTGTGCTTCAAGAGTTTAAACACAGAAGGGAACATGTATCCAGATCACCACTACTTCAGAACATAGAAGTCAAGTGCAGGGTTGCCCCTACATATCTAAGAGATAGAAAACCATGAATTGCCCTCTACAAGACTTCCAGTTCCACGCCAATCATCTCATCTTGAAAAACACCTCTCAATATCTCACCCCTTTTCTCTATCTCCTAACTAGTTGCATCCAATTCCCAAAAAATACAAACCTTATTCAGCACTTGATTCAAGTGGCTACATCTATGATACCATTCAATAGTTAGCCAAAAGATGGTGGTTTTTAGCACCAGAAGTTGAGATGAACACAGCCATAGTAAGCACTTTCCATATACAACCATCTCATAAAATGCTTCAAGAACACATGCATGCTAAGGTATACTTGGAGATGGCAAGAATTTCACCTTACCCGAAAAACTAGCAAGGGCACGCCTCTTTTTTATGGGTTAGCACAAGCTCATACCTGGAAGTGAATATGCATGCCTCAGATAGAAAATTTGTTGTTCTTGTCAGACCCCCTTTTTTTCTGGTGCAAGTCCTTAGGATTGCATGGTTTACTAATCAAATTCTCATTCCACTTTGGATTAGAACATAGAGATGTAGCATAATTGAGAACCCCATTGCCAGTTTGATTCTTTCTCATGGCCATACTGAGATTGTTGCCACTTAAAGAAAACAGCCAAAATGCAGAGCAACAATATAAAGCATCTCAAACTTTACAAGTCAAACTTTGAATGTATAAAACTTCATGATCCATCCATTGGAAAAGCCTCTAAAGGCATTAAGTTTAACATGTATTATATGCCATGCCTGGTCCTTCGGTAGAGAACTTAGAATGCATAAAACCTCATGTTCCATGCCCTAAAAGCCAATAAGTTTAAGATGCATTACATATGCTTGGAAACAATGCATAAAACCTGATGATCCCTCCAATGGAGAAGCCTTCGGAGCAAAACGTTCGGCATATAATACAACACCAAGTATGGGCTTTCTTTAATTGGGTAAAGTTCCCTTTATATCAAGAACTCAAGTTCCCTAGAGGAAGAACACTTCAATTCGAATCAATCTTGTCTTGAGAGATAAACTTGCCCAAAGCCTGTAGTGTGACCCTCAACCTCAAACCACATAAATAGCCTCTTACACAGAAAAACAGGATGGATGTACATGCTTAGTAATTCTTTCCTCTATCCAAGTGTGTAGGCGTCAGTTATAAGCTTCAATTAAACCACAGCCTACACCAGCCTCCTGCAATGTAATATCTGTGTAATGGAGAAAATATCACATGTGACCACACAGCTCCACACTCGCCAACTATATCACCATAGCAAAACTAAAGTAGCCTTCCAAAGAAGGATCTCATCAGCAAAAATTACAAAAACTTCCTAAGTTACTAGAAATAAGGACCAATCAAATGAATGTCAAACTGAGAAACAGAGCAAAACCAGACCTCAATAATATGAACCAGAACCGCTGCCGCCCATGTATCCACCACTTAAGCCACGACTAGAGTAGATTGATGAGTAAGAACCACTACCCACCTTCATAGCCAATAAAAGATAGAAGAAAGTGTAAAATAGATGCGAGAAACAACAGGAGGCCTACCAATAACAAACACAACATTTGAGAGCAAATTTAAAAGTAACATACATCAGGTCCACCAGGCAAGTAGTCACTTCCATAGCTTGATGAGTACATTCCACCAACTTCACTATTGCTTACAGAACCTGAAAAGACAACTAAGACCAGGTGACCATAGGATACAAGTTTGGCAACAACAGCTAATTCCTAAAGGCCCAACACATGCAACTGTTACTCAAAGCTAGAAACAGCTTATACCTCCATAACCCATGCCATGACGACTGTCGTACATTCCATGAGAATCATGTCCTGAAATGGAGCTTCGGCTGCTCCCACCATAGCCCAAATGCGAACCCCTTCCAAGCCTGCACATGAAATCCCAGAACAGCACAAGCCATTGGATACTGTTGCTGAACATAACAATTACATCAAAAGAAATCGACGAATGCACAAATTTTTTTTTTTAATATGTGGGAATGCACAAATTTTTTTTTTTCATATGTTTAACTTTGTATAAAGATAAGGGATTACAGGAAACGCAAATAATATTCAAAGAAAGAAATCGACAAATGTGCATAATCACAATGAATAGGATCATATGCTCCAAAAGGAGTAAAATTGTACATATGCTCCCTCCAGCAAAATCCTCACTAGGAGTATTTTGAAGACCCAAAATTTTGGGGATATAACGTATACTCAACCTAGTGAGCACCCTTGGAAGAAAAAAAAATAGTGACCAGAAGAAAAAATGGGGAAGGGTGAGGGGAGCAGCATAGTTTTGGATTGTCAGATCTATGCGTTTCAAGAAATCAATTTTTCTATTATTATTTTAATGAAATTAATAATCTAGTGATTCAGAGTTGGCCCATCAAATTTCATATCAAACATCCTCCTAATTGGGTGTTTTGACCAAGGGAGCAAGTGTATGCTATGGCTGCCAAGAGTGTGTTACACGCCCTAATTATGAATGAAAAGAAGTGTATATATGATTCATAGCTCATAAATGAACCTTGCAGTTTCACCAAAAGAACCATCTCCATACTGAGAAGCACCACCACCCACTCCATAATCCAGACGAGCCCTTGAATGCCTAACACTTGTGTCAGCATACCTTGGTGTAGCATCACTCTGGTAGAATCCAATAAGAATATCACATATTCATTATAAATCAACTCCACCAAACAATCAAATTTATTTTAACAGTAAAAAATTACAATCATTAATACCCACCAGTGATGAATATGGGCGCTTAGACCCAGAAATAGAATCATACTCACGACCACGCCCTTCACGGTAACTTGGAGGCCTATCAAGACGACGCCCATAGCCTTCATCGGGATATGGCCTCCTTGCCGCACCACGTGAAGCGCTGCGAGGAGCACTGTCAGAATATGCTGATCCTCGAGAAGGGTAGTCATCCCTATAGGAGGGCCTTCTCTCTACAGGTGCCCTAGGAACAAACTCTGGTGCAGCTCGACTTCGAGGAGGGGGCAGATCATCACGCCTGCTATGATCCCTTTTGCTGCTCTTAGGGTATGGTGGAACTGTCCAAGTCAAGAAATTTCACATAAGCAACAAAACAAGGGAGATATCAAGAGCAATCTTACCTAGAACGAGATGTAAACGAAGGTGAGGATGAATGGGAAAGAACGCTAGTCACTGACCTCGAACTGATACAAAAAGTAAGAGAAGTGGGGCGGGGGAGTAAGAGAGAGAGAGAGAGAGATACCAGGGGGCCTCCTGTCATATGATCTACCAGGAGGAGGCAAGTGCCTAACCCTCTCGGGTGGCACAGGTGCAACTGGGCGCCTGTCTCTGAAACCCAAAGGCCTCCTTAATGCACGGCTTGGGATTGGAGCCCCACGCCCCCCAAGCCCGCGAGGAACACGAGCAGGAAATCTCCTAGATTCTAAGCGTGGAGCACCACGACCTGCCCAAGGAGCTTTCGCCCCCCTCATTCCACCACGACCAACCTTAAAATCACCTCGAGCACCACGCTTTGACACTCTACCCCTCTGATGTGGCCTTGACAATCTTGCCCTAACTTTCACCTGTAGGAATTCACAAAGAATCACTTTAGAGCCATTTGTTGTGCATAAAGGAAGTCAGCCAACAATGCAATATATCATAGTACATGTAATGAAATCACATAAGCAAAATCAACACTGACCTTACTATCGCCTTCACCAAGTTCAGCATTGTTAATTCCTTCAACACATGCCACTGCCGCATCGTGGGTGTCAAAAGTAACAAAGCCAAAGTCATTCCTTTTAGCCGATGGCATATTGCGTGCAAGTTCAACTTTCTCAATATCCCCAAACTTTTTCAGGAGCTCTTTGACGCGATCCTCGTCCCAGGAAGGAGGAATACCATCAATAAAAACTGTTTTGACCTGAAGTAAAATAGAAGATTCATCCCAATATCACTCATTTATTTTTTCCTTTTTTGTTGCAGAAGCAGAAAGACCACTCAAAACTGAGGAATTCACTGGGAATAAGAAAATTTGAATCAAGTGGCTAGGGATGAGATAGCACCATATAGTATCTAAAGTAACTAAGAACACTTCTGCAAACACACGAACACAAAAGCACAAATACAAGAGATAAGGACACTACTAATTGAATGTGAACTATGTAGCCCATGACATCAAAGTTCCAAGAAATTGGTTTCAGAAATTGTAGATACCTGTGCCATTATTTCATCATCTGGCTCAATGAATGAATCTGCAAAAGCAACCTTAGCAGTCCTATCAGTTCCAAAAACAACATCCCTTTTCTGCAAGCGCTTATATGCCTCCATAGCTTCTGAACGGGAAGCAAATTCCAGGAAGGCAAAACCACGATTCATTCCCTCATTGTTGCTATCTTCAACTAATGTCATATCTTCAATGTTCTCAATACCATAGTGTTTCAGCTTCTCCTTCAACTGGAAAAAGGGTTGAAACAACAGCCGTATATCTCGTTGGAACCAACCATTATGGAAACATATAAACAAAAGATAAGGATGAAAACAAATACTCCAACTTGAGTTCAAACAATTACTCACAGCTTCCTTTGTCCATGTCTTGCAAATGTTACCAAGGAAGAGTGTGTCGCTGTCCTGACTAGGAGAGACCCCACACTGCTTCCCATTAACCTAAACCATAGAGGTCATAAAGAGATGGTGTTATCCCCCATACAACTAGGTAATTATGTAATAGAATATATGACAGCATTATATTCCAAGGGGAGAGTATATATACCACTGGATTCTTCAGTTCTGTGACAGCTCGTTTAGCGTGCTCAACAGTTGCAAAGCGTATGAAGGCAAAACCCTTGTTTTTCTTGGTCTGCAAGTTCATCATCAGCCTCACTTCGGCAACTTCCCCAACTTCGCTGAAGACTTTCAGGAGATCCTCCTCAGTAGCTTCCTTGTCCAACCCTCCAACAAATACCTCAAACTCCTTGCGCTTCCGACGTTCCTTAACAACTTCATGGTGCTCTTCTTCCTCTCTATCTGCGACTTCATCACGCTCTTCTTCCACCTCTTCATCTTCCCCTTCACCTTCAACATCCTCGCCACCATCTTCCATCTCCTCATCAGCACCATCACCCTCTTCTACCTCCTCGACATCACCCTCTTCCTCACCTCCCATGACCTCCTCTTCTTCCTGGATGTCATCATGCTCAATTCCTCTCTCATCATAATCTACACCTGCATCTTCTTCAGGCTCCGACTCTGGTTCATTGTCCTCCAGTTCTAGCCGTTCACCTTTCTCATCCTCATCAGAAACTTCCTTGCTCTCCTCTGCATATTTCAATCAAATAGCAAGCTTTCTATCAAGAGCATTTGGCAATACACCCACTACTCTGCCAAGTATGTTAGAGAATAATTAAGGACATGGACATTTTCATCTTTAACATACCAGATCCCGATTATGTGAAACTGAGTACAAACCACATCCCTGTTATATGAATACCATACATTCAAGGAGAGCCAATCTTGAACCACTGATCGGTGGATAGACAGGAACTGACTTTAGGCTCCTAATCCAGTCTCATAATTGATGTCCTACATGTGATCATAATTACATTTTCGACCGGTCTATTTCTACTTGTTGTATGTCGCATATATCATGACAGTTTCTTTTTTCTTAATTGATCATGCCATAGTGTTCTTTGAAATGATATGGATTTTTCTTTTTCCTCTGAAAGTTAAGGGTCATAAAGAAAAATCATAACCTGAATTCAACAAACCAACCATATAGGATCTATGCATCACAGGGCATTAGGCAGATCACAAATGCCTTTAAGATGGTTTTTACTTGTAGGATATTGATATCAAAACTATACATCAGTGCCATATGAGAAGAGCATCGACAAACATGGCAACGACTAAACCATTATATAGAGATAACCATGAGAGATCATTGGATGCAGTAACTGAAAAGCTGGCAGACAGTATAGAACTATATTGGGGAAGTATGACACAATATATGGATCACAAAACTGCAAAGAAGCACCATCTTTTGATGTATCAACATAATAGTATTAGAATTCCAGCAGTGCTTAGACCAAACTTTTGACTGTTATGTTAAAATATTTGAGAATAGAATGGTCATCTTGCATAACATAAAGTTGTACACTGGCCACAAAGAATGAAAGAATGCAACAAAACAAATACGATGCATACAGGCCGGGTAAATATATTGGCAATAACATAACCCAGACAAGGCGCATGCGGGGAAATGATCTTTTGGGCATAAATTCCATATGCATGCCTAGGACAGAGCATGCACATGATCTTTAGGGCAAGGGCCAGCGAAAGGTCCAAAGGTATGACGGTAAAAACTATGTACCTTTCTAGAATATGCTGTCCAGGTCAGCGAAAGGTCCGATGGTATGACAGTAAAAACTATGTACCTTTCTAGAACATGCTGTCTAGGCCATTCACGGCAGAGGAATAAAACCAAATAATGATGGATAGAAGAATCAGCAAATAAAGAAGACAGCCATAATCCCATATTTAGAGCATAACGGATATCTAAAAAAATCACGGGCATACTCTGTGAATAGAAGAATGGATGATTTGGACCATTAATATGAAGCGTTCTTCTGAAATTTAAGTGGAAAGATCTTGTAAAAGCGTCTCGTAAGTTTTTCGACACGTGTGCTTATATATTATTACAATGTCGATGTTCATTCAGAAAAAAAAAAAGTCTTGTAAAAGCATAATACCCATATTATAGTCATAGGAATGACCCTCGTAGCTCCTGGATCCCATCCCATTTTGAAATGGATGATAAGATTCACCATGACAACTTCTACATAGCAGTTAAATTCATGGCCCCTCACAAGATCGGTAGGATACAGGAGACAGGAGCTTCTTGTCCACCTTCTTGATACATGCATGACTTATACAGGTCATGCAAATTATATAATATGTTAACCTGGGTGCTGAAATGATAAAAATCCATTGTCTTAAGGATGACAATTTCACAGAATATATGTAAGATTGGTATAGCACTCATTTTCAGAAAAAACTAGCAGGATGTTTGAAACAACCACGAATTTACATGGACACATGCATACCCACAAAATCACATATTAAAAAGGAGGAAAAATGGCTAAGGCAATATGGTTGCACTGAAAATATAGGTAATATGATTTTTTTGTCCGGCTTGATGACCAAAAATAGTTTGTCACCTTATCTCGTAGTATATACAAAATTGAATATAGAGAATGTAACACATAAAGATAATAAGTATTTTTATTCTCAAAAAAGAAAGAAGATGATACCTATGTACAGAAAGATACACAGAAGGGATATCTGGCTATCTGCCATACTTTTCAAGGCAGGCGGTGGATCCGTTGATGAGACCACCGCAGCTAATCTCAACCATAGATCTCAAAATAGGACAGTGGAAGAGTGGCTCACCAGTCTATTGTAATCATACACAGCATGAGTATAAGACACTTTCACATTAATCAAAAGGTGGAAACAACCCAGAAAAAAGGCACAGGTATGAAGCCCACTATATCATGTGAGAATAAATTTGATCCAAACAACAGTGAAACTGTCATCAAACCCTAAGATCGTGCTCCTCAAAACAAAAAGAATCCCTATCATACTTACAAGGAAAAGTTCAAATAAAGATGTAGAGAAGCACGACGAAAGTACACCCATGATTTTTCTTGCAATAATTTAGAGGAGGTATCACAATATGAATGAATACCACTGAGAAAACTAATATTTAGCACAACAACAGCTAAGAAGTTTGACATCCCCATTGAATTCAGCAATTAAGGCAAAAGATTACAGTTTGAAACAATAATCAAGAAGACAGTAGCTCTATGAACAAGGAAAACGATAAAGAAAGATTGAAAGAAAACAAGATCCACACAAACCTTTAAAATCAGAAGAATCAGTTACACCATTAACACCAGGTTGATCCATATCAGTTTGTATCTCTTCAACAACAGGCTTTACTGGTTCTTCTTCCTTTACTTCTACTTTCGTAGGTAAGACTTCTTCTTTCGACCGCAATACCTCTTCCTCAACCTTTTCAGGCGGAGTTTCAACAGGAGGGGGTGCCTGAGATTGAGCTTGAGCCAAGGCCCTAGCTGAGGCTCTAGGACCCTTTACAACCTTTTTGACACCAGGGGTGCCACCACCCCTCTTCACTGCACGAGGTGGCATTGCTTCAAACCCTTAAAACTTGCAGATAACAAGCTCTATAAATCTGCAGAAGCAGAGAAAATCTATAAAATTGCAGAGAAACCTAAAGGAAATAAGTTCTCCAATAAAGTGGAGGATTAGGTGGTGGAAAAACGGAAACCCTAAAAAAGGATGAAGAATTTCACAGAAAAGATGAAATATTAGGTCGGGGGGGGCGAAGAAATAGAAGAAATCAAGGGAAATTGCAGGGAGAAAGGCGGTCGCGGTGAAAACGAAAAACCCTAAAGAAAAACCCTAATAAAAAGACGTCTCGATCTGTATACAGGGAAACCCTAGATTTTTTTGGATTCGGCGGACCAAACTGATCCAATCCTTTGATAAAATGACAACTAACCTTTCTCCATCTGAAATAGATGAAAGTTACTCTTTATTTGTCTCCAATGACTACTATGTCCTCGGTCTTTTGAGGAAAAAATTAGGTGGTCCCAATTTCTATAAGGACCGGGTCTTATATTAAAAAATTAAAAAAAATAAAATAAAAAAGGTAAAATATCGTCTTAAAAATACTTTAGGCATGGAAAACTATATCATATTTTTTAAATTATTTTTAAGATAGAATTATAAAATTTGTGGCTCAAAAATATAATATAGCTCTTACATCACCTTGATTACTTAAATAGTCTACATAATATTATGTGTTATGATATACACTAATTTTAAGGCTTAAAATCTTAAATTTTTTTACAATAAATATAATTTTTTATAAATATTGAAGTGCAGCTTTTCTTACTAAATAATATTTATATAAAGTTGACACTTAAAAATATAGAATTAAAGGGACCTCTAAAATCATTTGAAAAATGTTGTTTTGATATTGGAAAAACATCTAACTTATCATCTCGACATCGAGATGTATAGATATCGAGAAAATAAAAATTTCAAGTCTTAAAAATAGTACATCTTGCAACACATTATCTGGACTATCCATTTTCAATATTTTCATGCATCCATAAATCTGCTTGATTTTAACTATTTTTGGTATTCAAAATTTTATAATTAAAAATAAAAATAGTTTCTCGCACCATCCTAAGTATTTTCAACATGCAAAATTGTACCTCACTACAAAGTTTAATTTTATATTTTTTTAAGGTCACAACCTTATACAAACACCCTTATTTTAATAAGACTATACCCCTTATCAAAACCTTATCCAAACATTTTAAAAAAATTTTAAAAAAGGAGCAAGCAGCTTGGGATTTTTGGCCTCTTTCTCTCTATCTCTCTCGGAGACGACTCTTGCCTACTCTATCGCTCTCCAAAAAGAGTTTTTGGCACCCCTTTCTTTTTTCGATGTGGTTTGTATAGAGCCGAGGATACAAACAATCAAAATAAAGCGCACCATTAAATAGTGTTGAGAAATGTGGTCTTAATATTAGAAATATTTGTGATAGCCTTGAAATATATTGTCTTTTTTAATTATAAAATTTAAAGCTTCAAAAATAGTGTAGATCAGTGTTTAAAAAAACGTCGAGTTTCGACTCGGGAATCACCATGGACGGATCGAATTGGCAAAAAAACGAGAATTGTCCGGTTCTAGAGAGAACCGGACGATTCTGCACAGTGACTCGCCGATTCACGATACGGAATCGGCGAGTCCCGTACAGTGAATTGGCGAGTCCCGTACGGAAGAACAGAATTTTTTTTTTTTTTTTTTTTTGTGTAATCCATGATAGATTTTTTTGTAATACTTGATCGATTTTTTTGTAATCCATGATCGAATTGTTTTTTTTTTTTTGTAATCCATGATCAAATTTTTTGTTTTTTTTTTTTTGTAACCCATGATAGAATTTTTGTAATCCATGATCGAATTTTTTGTAATCCATGATCGAAATGTTTGTTTTTTTTCTTGTAATCCATAATCGAATTTTTTTTTTTTTGTAACCCATGATAGAATTTTTTGTAATCCATGATCAAATGTTTTGTAATCCATGATCGAAATGTTTGTTTTTTTTTGTAATCCATGATCAAAATGTTTG